ATTTTGATTTTATAAACTAAATGTTCACCAAAAAACTTTAGTGAGAAAAATCGAAAAAACGAACTACAAACATATTAACGCCAACCATTCGGTAAAATTTATAAAATATTGTAAAAATATATAGATATATACACAAAGACTATTTGCCCGAAATAATTTTATGAGAAATTATTTCTCTACCGTATATTTATACATTCACTTATTAGCTAACCATCCATCATGCTTAAGCTACTTAACAACGTTTCATTTTTGAAAGAATATTTTCATTAATTAATTCATCTGTACTGCATTGATAGCGAAAAAAATGTTGATGAAAATTACACCGGAACAACAACGAGAAAGTTTCATTAAGAAGGAAAAAATTATAAAGAACGGTGGAATAAATTTTCAGAATGGAAACAAATTTTAAATAGAACTCCTTTATTTAAGCAAGTTGAGAGCCAGCTGGCTGTTGAGTCGAAACAGTAAATTATTTCTGAAAAATATGAACATACTTTGATGTTACAGACTGCAGTCGGGGCACATGAAACTGTGAAAACATTATCAGTACTATCATTATCGCATCACCATCATTAAAGGGCTGTCATCATCAACGCCGTGTTTTTAAATTTATGCGAATACTGCAATAAATGTCCGAAACCGTTTTATTATTCTATTTATTTTTTCACCATTCTTAAGTCATAATCGTAAATATCATTTCTGTCATCTTTATCATATATCGTCTTCTTCTTCACCATCATTTTCACCGCCAACATCATCATCATTACCTGTATTTTAATCATCATCGCCAACATTACCAGCATCATCACCACCATCACCATCATCATCATCATCATCGTCGTCATCATTATCCTTATCAACTTCACCCCCTCCCATCATCATCATCACCATCATTTTCATCGCCATTGTCATCATCATCACCTGCATCTTAATTATCATCGCCAACATCACCAACATCATCATAACCACCACCACCATCATCATCATCGTCGTCGTCACTACCATGTAAACAACCAATAAATTAACATCGACCACACAAAGACCTCCATCATGAACCCTGATGAAGAGGTGATCAACTTCAATGATAATAAAAACCAAGTGGAATTAAACAAATCCCTCTCTCTCTCTCTCTCTTTCTTTCTCTAAAAATGGAAATTTTGCCAACAACACTCACATACACACTAAAAAACACACACACATACAGACATACACATACACACACAGACAGACATACTCATAAGTAATCATTTAATGCAATAGAGAGAGATAGAGAAAGAGATAGAGAGAGAGAGAGAGAAAGAGAGAGAGGGAGAGAGAGAGGTGATGCATGAACCGTGCATACATTCAATTACACGTCCGATGGCATTAATTCATAATGCATTATTCCACAATGTCAACAAAAAACTCAACAAAAATATCAACATAAATATAAATATATGAACTGTGCTAAAAAGGTTCAATTTATTTTCCAGCAACAAAATAATCATAACAATAACAACAACAACAAAACCAACAACATCAGCCGTAACTTAATAAACACACACATTCACACCCATTTATACACACACCCACACACACATAAAGAAACTCACCAACACACCCAGAAAAACTCATACCTACACACACACGCAGAAACTCACCAACACACCCACATACTCACACGCACACACACCCACATATCTCAAAACTCGTACTGCAACGGAATATAACATGAACATGGGTTGGGTATACACTAAACATTTTTATCAACTTCTGAATCAACATGCCTACAGCCAGAAAAAAGAGCTCAACAAACACAGGCTTATACATAAAAATACAAACAAACACAAACAATTACAAGCAAATGCATACAAGAGAAACAAAGTTGATCAAAATCAACTCGACATTTTACAATATTTATGAATACATATAAAAGAAAATCATTAATGATGAAAAAAATTTGAAACACCAACATTCATAGACAACATCAACAACTAAACAAATATCAAAACATAACCAACGACACAAACAAATAAGCAACACCACATCACCAAACAACACATCAACGAAACATCAACAAACAGCACTACCAACAATCACCCTACAATCAACAAACAAAAATCGAAACACTTACAACAACAACAACAGCAAAAACAACAACAACAAAGAACAACATCACTAACACTATGAGCAGCACTAGCAGTGGCCGCAGTAGCAGCAGCAACAACATCAGCACACAACTGACCAATAGTAGTAGTCTTTCAATTCTTGTTAACATTTGACGCTAATTAAAGTTTAGCATGATCGCAACGTGGTCAGTGCATTTGGTCTTGTTGCTTTTTAACAAGTGTGCAAATTCAGATTTTTTCTTAATTTCTGTACGTGTGCTCGTGCATATATGTAGTGTGTATGCGATGTGCGTGCGTTTGTGCGTGCGTGTGTGCGGGCTTGTGTGGGTGCATGCTACGCAAGATTATTTATGCATGCTTGCGTGTTTGGCTGGCGTTTTAACGATCGTGCAAGTTTCATATTATCTTCGAGAGAAGGCCTTTAATTCTATTCTTTGTATGTAGAGAAAAGTTTCATGCAAGCATTGCATGTACGTCTGTGTATATTTTATGAATGTGAATGTAATTTATGTATGTGTACGTATTTTATGTTTGTGTACGCATCTTATGTATGTGTACACATCTTATGTATGTGTATATAATTTATGTATGTGTACGTATTTTATGTATGTGTGTATAATTTATGTATGTGTACGTACACGCACCACGTACATTGTGTACATTTTACCATTGCGTACAACAGATACTCGGGGAGGGGGGTAACGAAAGGAAATGTTGTTCGCGATTGTGGGCATGATTGATGAGCGGTTGGACCGGTGATGCTCTGATTGACTGATGAGGGGAAACGAGTTTCAGTTGAAATCAAAGAACGAACGCGGATGATGAAGTAAGCAATACAATTCAGTCATAACTCTCCAAGAAATATCTGTGTGTGCGTGTGTGCGTGCGTGTAGAAATGAAATAATTATGATTTATTCTTTTCAATTAAAATACTGCCAAATGATGGCAACAGAGATGATTTTAAGTAAGGGTAAACCTGTTTCTTTCTGTTTGAACCAAAGCGAGAGAGCATCAGCTACGTACACAGCAAGCAGCACGATGAACTTCTTTCTTTGATGTCGTCATCGATCGTCACATGCACGCCTCACTCGTACGTACGTCACAAGTCACGTGATTTTTATTGTTTACAACTGTGCAAGTGTTGCATTGTTTACAAGATATGGAAAAGTTACACAACATGAAACCATTCATTGACGTTGAGCGAACAAAGAAACTAAACTAACAAACCTGCAAACCCGAAGCAAAAATCCAGTTTGATGCACTTATAGGATGCGTGTCATCTGCGTTTGAAGGCTTCATGTACTCGCAACATGTTAATGGAATTGAAATCTCAAATTTTATGAAATTTTCCCAAAAGGAAAGCTGAAATGAAAACTATTATACGGAATATATTTATGAATACACGAATGTATACAATCATCTAAAATTTAAACTTAAGACAAAAATAAGAACTTGAAAATAAAAAATTTAATAAAATTACAGAGGGCACACGTACATTGGAATAATAAGTTGTCATCAATTCTCCTATTGAAAAATTTCATCTCAGCGTGAAATTGAGAAAAATTCGTGTTCATGAATTCCTATTGCTATTAATAACAACAACTACCCTACATTCTATATTCAATTTATTCTTTTCTCTTTAATTTCGTTCATCTTTGTTTTAAACAAGCAATTCTAATAATATTTTCAGTATTTTTTAAAGTTTCCTAGTTATTTAGTTAGAAATTCAACTAAATAAATAATGGTTATTAATAAAATTTAGAGTTAATAAAGTGCTAATCGTTCGTTGTGCGATAATCTTTATTTGGAGACACAGTAAGTCATTTCAATTTCATATAAAAATCCATTCAAAATTTGATGTTAATTATTCAATTTTGCAAAACTTTATAAAAATTGTTGATAAAATTAATTAAAATTTAATCGATTCATTGTAGAATGAGAATATCACAGAATGTTTCTGAATAATGTAGCTAAAGATGAACGTAAATCAAAAAATTTGTGTTTCAATATTTTTTAGTCTCAGGAAAAACGGTAAAAAATAATTCAGCAGCAACAGCAATCTAAAACAAACGCTGATGGCAGGCGGGAATGAATTAATTGTAGCCCACCCATTGATCAACATCACCACTCAGCAGCTTTCTGCATCCGCAATAAGCTAACTAAAAAATCATTTGTCATCATGTGTTAAGGAAAATGTCATTTATTTCTAATAAAGGAGGAAAACAGACAGAGAGAGGAGAGAAAAAGAGAGAGAGAGAGAGAACGAGAGAGAGAGAGAGAGAGAGAGAGAGAGAGAGAGGCTGAACGGGAAGAAAAAGAGAAAAAATGTTTGTTATTTTGTTAGCATGCAAGTATTTACATTGGTTTGCTGATTGATTGGTTGGTTGGTTGATTGCACCGCGATTTGATAGATGAGTTTATTGTGTAGTAGTTGAGGTTGATTGGTTCGTCGTTGGCTATGTCAGTCGCGATGTAGTTAATGATGGTGTGGCTTGCATCACCAATGGTTGTGTTGTTGATGTTTTATTGAGTTTAGTGACAGTTGCGTTGATGTGGTTGTGTTGATGTCTTTAGAGCTGAGCATAGTGTAAATGTGAATCTATTTTGTAACGGACTTGTTTTAATGATTGAAAATGTTTGTATTTTTTTCATTGATTTACAATTTTGTTTACAACTTATTTTAATTTAGTTTTTTAAATACAAAACTTTTTTCATGGACTCTGTAAGCTTGAAAAAATAAATTTTAATGCCAAAACAAGCCAATGTCTTTGTTCTTTTTCATGAAATTTGTCATGAAATCCATCTATGCAACGGGAGAATTATTTCAAAAATTAAAAAAATGCAACGACGTATTTAAATAAATTACTTAAAGTTTTCAAAAATATCAAATTAATTAAAAAAATATCTAGAAAGTAGTTTGGCGCCGCAAAAATAAAATTAACAAACATGGATGGCAGTGCAAGATGTAAAGAAGAGAAGACATGGGAAGGGAATATTGTAACCTCGGGTTCATCACGCTCCAGGTTGATTATGATGATAATAGTAATGGTAGTAGTGCTGATGATGATGAAGAAGAAGAAAATGATGATGATGAAAAAGATGATGATGATGGTGGCAATGATTATGACTTTTCGTTCAATCATTTTCATGTTCAACGTTACAACTTAGAATCGTCAGTAACATCTTCGTCGTCGTTATCACCATTATCCGCCACCACCACCATTATCGCCATCGTTATCAATATCATGACTGTTTACATCATGATGACGTCATCTTAATTACGTCATTACTTTGGTTGAAGACCTGTTTCAATTTACAATTTTTTTCAAGCATTCTCATCGTGTTTAAATTGCTTTTAAACATTTTAAAATAAATTGACTGAATGAATTTTTTCTCAAGAACATAACTTTTTCCACTTCTCAACACGAGGTTCTTACCTCGTTCTTTTCAATCCACTATTTCAATTCCTGACCTATCCTGTTATGTTATTTTTATCAACAATTTTTGAAAAAAAAATTTGAAACTTCTGTTTTGTAATTGATAAAATATTCCGCAAATAATTTAAACCAGATCAAATGATAATCCATCAAACTGATACCATCTAATTAAGATTCATTGCTTTTGCGAGCACACCAGTGCAAGAATTTTTCCACAGAATTTATTGAATAATTTAAAATATCCACAACATTGAAATTATTTTTACACAATCAGTGAATCAGATGAGATATTTTTGTGTCATCAATCATTTGACCTCATTTGACCTCACCTGACCCTATAAAAGTTTTAAATTATGTAGGTCGGCCTAAGATCAACCGACGGTTATTGCATACAACCCTTTTTTTATTTTCTACACATGGTCATCGCGGTTTTCATCGTTTCATCGTTTATTGTTGCGTAAAATCTATGGTGAGACTGAATGCGGGACTTAATTTTTAATTGAGTCATCTGAATTAATTTATAAATTTGTTTATGTTGTAAAAATATTGATGTGGTTTTATGTAAATTTGAGTGATGTTAAAATTTTAAGAATTTCAATTTCCTAGTTCGTCTGATTATCAACAACTTTTTATTTCTTAAAATTTGAGCGAACTGTTAGAGATGAACTTTCTACTAGAATGAATTTATGTTTAATTAATTAATTAATATTGTTAATTTATTAACTTTTTAATTTCCTAATTCATTGGTTTGACCACTCCTAACTACCTACCTACATACCTACTTACCTACCTACCTACCTAACAACCTACCTACCCACCCACCCATGCAGTGTGTTCAGCACTTGAATCCGGCTTAATGATGATCATCGGCAACGTCGGCCGCGAGCACGAGAACACCATCAGCGATTTCAGTTCAATGTTCGAAATGCCTTACTTGTCCATCGCCGAGCCACCGACGCGAGTCATCCACCACCGACTCAGAGGCTTCACCAACCACTCGTCATCATTTTCGCCATCTTCCTCATCATTTCTATCATCGTTTCCACCACCATCATCATCGTCGTCGTCGTCATCCTCTTCCTTCACAATTTACTTGAGGCCGTCCCTTTCGAGACCCATTCGGGATGTTATCTTGTACTTCCAATGGGCGAGGATTTACTACATATACGATCACATGGAAGGTGATTGATTGATTGATTGATTAGGTGCTGCTGCTGCTGATGTCATTGTGATATACGTTATGGTAATGTGATGTTGATGTCATTGTGATATGTTATGGTGATGTGATGTTGATAACATTGGGATATGTTATAATAATGTGATGTCGATGTAATTGTGATATATGTTATGATAGTGTAATATGTGAAGATGTTTAGCATTTAACAACTTTCAAATAACAAAGGTTATAAGCATATCTATATTTTAGTTGAGCAAGACGTATTTTAGTTTAGGATCTCGAATACGAAAAATTTTTTCAAAAACATTGTAGGGTAAGCTGTTAACAACAATGAGAAAGAGAGAGAGAAAGAGAGAGAGAAAGAGAGATAGAGTAAAGGAGAAAAAGAGAAAAAAATCCATAACAGTGTGCACATGTGCGTTTATGTGTAATTAAATAAAATTATATATTCTATGTTAGATTAACTTGGAGAAAAAGCTCGACTTGGCGCTAAACATTAGCCGACGACATTAACTAGATCCAAATTTATAGGTTGCAATATATCGGTGGTTATCCTCAATTGCAAGGGATCATCTCGGAGGTTATCCTCTATTGCAAGGGATCATCGAGGAAATTAGTCGGTAAACATTTAATAACAGGCTATTGTGGGGGTTTTCTGCACATCTTGTTATAAGTTCATTTTTATCTAACATGAGTTTTTCTTTTTAGAAATAAAATCGACACAGTTTTAAAAAACTTTTTTAAAAGTTCAACCTTTAATGAAACAATCAAGTGAAAAATAAGATATGATGATGTAATTAAAAAGTGTGAAAAAAATGAAAATGTTTTTGTGTTGTTCATTTTTTTGAAAATTTTGAAAACACATCATTCTACCATATTTTTTTTTCAACATATGCGCTGTTTTTCGTGTATTTTTGCATGCCCTGTGTGTTTGTTGTTGATACATCTAAAAAATATTGAAAGGAGAAATGTTATGAAGAAATAAAGTTTTCTTTGACTTTGTTTGTGTGTTAGTTGTGATGTTATTACTTGTGTTCTTTGATTGTAGATGAATGTTGTAAATTTCTTTTTACAACATCCCATCCATACAGCTAACAACCACGAACAAATTTGTTGTTGTTCTGCTGTGTTTGTACATTTCTGCAAATGATTATGCTGCCCTCTAAACCACTGAACGATTAGAAAAAAAAGTTAATTGTGTTTTCTAATTCCTAGACGCTGCTACGTATTTTAATAAATTGGCGCCAAACAAAATATCTCAATTTATCATTCATTTAGTCATCGTAGATTTATTTATTATACAACATAAACATTACTTTGTTACACCTGAAAGACGTTAACATCGTCCGATAACACGCAGAATCCACAAAAATTATAAAAAAAATTTGGGTTTTCAAACCAAAAGATTTAAACAAAATCAAAATAAGATTAAATAGACTGATGACCAACGAAAAATATACTTCGCTGCTCAAAACACTTGAATTGTTGTTGTTAGGTTCATGGATGCTAAACAATTTTCGATTTAAATTAGCATGTTGTTCCTCTGCTTGCAGTAGAACGTGAGTGAACTTCGTAAAGTAAATGCTCGCTTACAGTTTTGATTTCACTCAACCAAAAACAAAATTTAAAATATATTTAAACACACCAAAAATAATTTTTTCTGTACAATTTTTCGTGAACACAAAATTTGAAAAAAATTGTCTGAAATTTTTACCAGTGTAAAAATGACTTGTTTTACAGTTTAGTTCCCATTGAAAAGAGTTATGCAACCGTAAGAAAAGCGTAGAAACCAGGCAGGTGCATGAAACGAACAATCTTAAAAATTGAGATTCACACTTCTGTTTTTGAAAACTTTTGATTGCAAAAAAAAACTAAATATTAAAAGACTTTTGAAACAAATCGAAAAATTTTGTTGGGAATGTTTTAGAAAAAATGATTTCCAGCTAAATCCTAGATCTTTTTAAGTTTGATGTTCAATTTATATACAGATATAAATCACGCTATATCTTAAGCAGAAAAGTGTTTCAAAGGGTACTGACAGCCACGTAGAAGTAACATGCCTGAAGAGTTCCGTGAAGGATTGCTCGAAAATTGCATGATGTATCTTTTGATTTATTGCCCGCCAGCATCTCAGACGACTTCATTATTGGCAGCTTTGTTGACATTGCATCATAACGCAAAATGACATGGCTGGAATGCATTTATGTACAAATTAACAATGTATAATTTTTTTGAACCATCTATACACGCTTTTATTTATATACTAAATGTTATATCATTCAATTTTGAAATGAGAAAATTAAAAATTTTCGTAATGTTTGAATTCCAAATTGCTTTTCGAGGTCAAAACGAGAGTAAAAAAATTGGAAAACAAAGTCTAAAAGGTTTCTCGGTGTTAAGATTTGAAGTCCTGACAGTTTTTTCCTGACAATTAGTTAAACGTAGATGGCAAAAGAAACAAATGAATTAGAATTAAATGCTATAAGCCCACGTTCTTGGACAGGAAACATGTCGATAAAATTTAATTAATGGTTTCCACGTACAAATATATTTAATTTAAACATGCGTTGACCAAAATAAATTTGACTATATTATTTCAAATGTTTTTAAGAAAGTTAGCAAATGTGTTACAAAAACAAAATATCAAAAAGATGAAATACCAAAATTTGTTATCAATCAATTTTAGAAAGTAACTATTGTGATTTATTACATTATCAGGTTTTTCAGTAAAGAGTTATGCCCAAGTGCTTGAAATACATATAAAATAAAGTTTCCACAAATACAAAATGCCTGCAAACAGCAATTTTTAAAAATATTCGTCGTTCAATTGATGTATTATTGCGTCCGTCTCATTCGAAAATGTCCATTCATTTCTCAAAATATCTCATGTTTTTTTAAAAAAATTTATAAAGTTATTTCGGTCAAGTTTCTCTTCTTGATAGAAATAAATTGTTTAATTTTTTTATTTGTTCATACAAATATGTAGAACATTACAAATAGAAAATGTAACAACTGAAAAAAATATTCGAAACGATACCCATGACCTCATGAATTATGTTTGGCAAATCTAAAAATTTTTTAGTTCTAATCACAGTTACGAAAAATTGTTTATTTATTTTGTTTGTTTTAAGTTAATTCATCTGTAAAATGGAATGAATCATCTAACAAACTTTTCGAATGCGTTTTAGTGAACCATCAATATTGGAATTGTAAATTTTTTTAGAATATTTTCAGCTTGTCTTTCATTGAAACAGCTCTCAGCCGGCTTGAGTACTTGAATTCTGCACTCAACCTGATTGAACAACGCGTTGAGATCATCACACTGAGGATCGTCAACCTGCAGAGTTGCCACACAAAACTGCGGCAGATAGACAGCATCGAGCTGGCCAACGTAACGAAGAACATCATCCTCGATATATCAACTAACGCGGCCTTAGAGATTCTACTGAAGAAGGTTGGCAGTGTCTTTCCATGTGCTGCTTGCTCTCTGTCGTTTTATTCGTTTTGCATTCTCTGATGTTTTACTGTGACACCGTCACCACTATCACCGCTTCTTCATCATTATTATATTATCGCGATCATCATCATCATTATTATGTTACTACAATCATCATCATTATCATTATTTTAACAGTTTATATATCTTTGAAATGTTATTAGAGAGAGATTGTTTTATAATTTTGAATAGTAATGTAGTGAGTCGTGAAGCCATACATGCCTCTTTCAATTCAACAGTTTCATTTTGTTTGCTGACTTTGATGTCAACCCACTGCATGTTCTTTGTTTTTAACTTTTTTAAATATTTCAAACAATTGCACAGTAAACAAAAAATGGATTAAAGCTGAAATTTATCACAATTCATGTCTCACGCACGATTTTGGTCGAACTGAAACAATAAACTTCAACATTCAGTTCCCATCTTTATAAAAGTTATATTTGATTTTGTACTATTTAAATTTCTTTAAATTACAGCTTTTTTGGCAATGATCTTTCTAAACATAAACAAAAGGAAATTACTGTCCACAAACAAATAAATATTTTGTAGAAAATTTGTTTATGTAGAAGAAAAAATAATAACTCCGGCAGATGGCAAATGTCAGGTGAGAGGTCTTTGGAATGCAATGTATTGGAAGAGAATATAATTTATCCTTATGGAAAACGAATCAATAAAATATAGCATTATGCAAAGAGTAAGTAAAAAAAAGACACGATAGAGAACAAACAAGTTGTTGTTGTTCCGTACGATTAAGTGACTTACTGCTGAATGTTACTGCTGAATGTTCAGCAGAGCTGTGTGATGCTATCAATTAATTTAGGGCCTGTGTCAGCAAGGTAGCCTCCAATGTTCCAACATTATTTTCCACTCATCTTTTTATATTCATCTTTTTAATATCTTCTACGGTGTACAAATGTTTTCTCGTCAACATAAAATAACATCATATATGGTGTCAGTAGTGCTCAGAGAAAGATGGCTACCAAATATAAATGGTTAATTTCTAGTTACTAGTGGTTAAGCTGTAATTTGCAATTACCTTTATTGAGTAGTTTATAACTACTGGTTAACTATTTCAAGATAGTTACTAGCTATTATAATTTACTACTTTCTCTACTACTTGAATATTTTTTTACAGAAAAAATTAACTATTGTTTTTATTGAAATTCTAAAAAGAACATTCTAACATTTTTGTATTTGTTTCAAATTTGTTCGCCTCTGTTTCATTTTCAATTGTCTCTTTGCCTTCTGAAGTTGATTTGCGTTTGATTTTTAGAGTGATTTAAAACGAAATTCGAAGTTCTAATATGTATAATATAGGCACGCAACGTCAGCGGCAGAAACTTCACGGCAATGAGCTTGGCGTTTAGCACAGATTAGAATGAAATAAAAATGGCAATGATGTATATAAGGATGTCAACGGTAATAATAATAATAATAATAACAGTATAAGCATTTCAGGCGGTGTTTGATTATTGAAATTCTCCAAAAATTTGTTTTAAACAACTGTGTGTTTGTGATGTTTGCAATAGAATTATAAAAATATGTTGCCCATTCTGTTGACAAGTTGGAACAGCAAAATTGTAAATAATTCAAAAAGAATAGAAGAAGATCAATGCAGCATTTGAAGGAATGTGAAGAAACTATAGAGAGATGCGTTTTTGAAATTGAGATGAAAGTTGAGTGGATAAACTTGATGAGTAAGAATCTGGCAGCTTTGGTTTGAACGGTCTGTGGTATTTTTATTGAAACTCAGTCCCAGAATGAGATGCAGTGATGGAAGTAAATTGCGGCTATCTAAGAAAAATCCAATTTTGTTTAAAACCAAATGAATTCTTATGAAAACAAAACTGATTTAACTCAGAATTAAAATGTAATAAGGAAAATTTATATAAAGCTGAAACAATGTAGGATGAGAAAATTGTAGAACCAGTTTATTTTGATTTACATTTGCAGCAGTAAATCTCAAAAAATTGTTCTAGACATATGACTTTGTAGCAACCTTACTTAACGAGTCGATGTTTTTTTGTTCCCCGTCTAACAGGATCTGACACAAATTTGTTTACGAGCCTAAAAAATTCTTAAAATAAATAAGAAGCTATTTTTATCTGGAAATAACTAGCTCGGTTTGCTTTAAAGTAAATAGAAATGACGTCAGGAAAGTTGCGTTGAATTGCGTGGCTGCGTAAGATAACATTACTAAAAATTTGAATAACGAAAATGAGCATGGTACACGGTTGGGAGAAGATCGATAATATATTCACACGTGCGTGTGTTTGCACTGCACATGTACGCTCAAACGTGCTCGCGATTGTAAAATTGCCAGTCCTCTCTAAGCCCCTGTATGATGACTCGCCGCATGATGTTGCGATAAAAATAAATAGGAAATGCGAGTACATCATAAAAGGACCGTAGAAATAAAACTCGACAGCTCTTTAAACGTCAACATTGTTTAATAGCAGCAATTTATTTTCAAGAAAAATGATTTAACTCCGATGAACAAAGATTATTAAGTCGCAAGGTTGCGTTGAAGATAAAATTTGAATGAAGTATGTAAACAAAGCGAACAAAATTTCAACAAAGTGACCGAGTGCAAGCATGAATAAAATTCGTTAACAATGCAATTGCGAATACAAACTTGATAAAAAAAAGCGGAAACAGTAAGCAAGACAGGAAGGAACAACCTGTACGCTTTCCATGTTGCCACGCTCCATTTATTTGCATCGTAAGTCAGAGCGACGTTCGTGTGAATGGAAAAATTTCCATACGAACAGGCGGGAAATGTTCTCTGCAAACGTCAAATAATCGTAACAATGAGGACGACGATGACGTTCATCTATTATTCAAAAGGTTTTAAAATTATTTTCGCATGCTAAAAACCAAGCATTAAATGTGACGATGAATAACGTAAAGGTAGGTCATTTACATGCCGCTAGTGTTCATCGTGTATGTGTATTTCTTGTGTGTGTGTGTGTGTGTGTATACTCACACACACACACACCACACACACATAAATATAATTAACGTATTAACGTATAAATGTGTGGTTGTATTTTATAAGTTGCCTTTATAATGTATCTGAAATGGATTAGAAATTTAATGTCTTTTTTTACCGTGGAAACATCAGATGCCAGGCGAGCAGGGCATACAAAATGACCTTATTGTGACGGTTGAACGTTTGAGGATGCAATTGAAGGTATGCCGGTGCATTAATGGCATTACTTCGTCGTCATTCCTTTTAAGAATGTAATCGTTTATAATGTTTGAAATACGTATGGATCGGTGTGAGAAACTTTTGGGGATGTCAGTGAATGTGTCGTCGATGATGTGTGCAATATGGCGAATAAGATTTTGTTATTTGCAATATGTTGTCGTTTAATGAGATGGCTGGGTTTGCATGGTATCTCCCATACATATTAGTGAGGTTGTTGTTTCTGTTGAGGAATCACTGATGACCCAATTTATATGGAAATCAGTGGAGGAGAAAGTAAACGCTAGCCGACGAAGCCTTCAAGGAAGGTACTTTGATTAATGATGATCATCCATGAGAGTTCACGCTTTATAATTTTTCAAAATTATTTTAGATTTTTTTTATTACATTCTGCCCCAGATGTTTAACGGTACAGTACAACCTTCAATGAGTGTTGTTCTGTCTAGTCCGTGATTCGCATGCCAATTATTCATTTTTATGCTTCCATTATTTTTCTTGTTTGTTTTTTGCTAGAAATATTTGTTGTCGACAATTATCTTATGTCTGCTTGTTAAAATTGATTTTCGACAGTTCCAAAATGATGCTAGAATGAAAATATTTGATGATAGATAATATTTGATGAGACGGCTTTCCGTGATTATTACGTTTTAAAACAAATTCCCACGCGTAAAGTTAAAATTTTTTTCAAGTAAAAATGTTCGAATACTTTTTTTGTCCAAACTTCGCTAATCACTAATTTTTTTTTTTTTTTTTGAAACATGCGCAGATACAAGCGGTGGGAATGAACAGGGCCACCTATCATTACATTGTCTACACATTGGTTAGTTCAAATTTCTAAAATTCTCTCTTTAGTCATTCTCAAATGTTTCAACAACCAACACACGATTCATGTAATGCACGTTAATTAACGCATCACACGGGTTGTATGTGGAAGGAGTAGAGATCTATTTGTATTCGAACCTGGTTACTGCAACAGCAGTTCCAGGCACTTTAACCGCGACCCCATCGCATATTCAGTTTTCTCAACTAGTCATTGGATCATACTTTTATACTAGTCAGTCTTATTTCATATTTTATTTGTCTCACACATATGTAAAACCAAATTTTAGAAATGTTTCTAGGAGTGTGTGTGTATGTATGTGTGTGTGTGTGTGTGTGTGTGTAGAACTTACTTTTTGTTTTTTATGCATGTTTGTTAGTTGTGTGTGTATGATTGTGTGCTACGTTGGTTGAACATTTCAGGAAGCATTTCATTCATGTAACGGAACACGACATTCCTTAAGAAATATCCATTAGCAAATGTATTAGATTTGTTTGAAAAAGTTAAAAAAATTCTCGCTCGTCAAATATGCTCGAAAAATGTTTCAACCTTTATATTGAAGATGAAAATAACCAGTCTTTGTAATTCAATAGATAAGTAAATAATTTGTAACGATAAAGTATGCCATTCAGTGGTGCATTGATAATTTTATACAAGATATCAACGTAAATGTATGTTTTCAAATAAAACATCATAGTTAAAACTTAAAAGTATTGTTGAATAAACATATTTCCATCATTTTGATGACCACTTCATCACACTCTTTCTTGAGTATGATCAAACCTTTTACTTGGAAATCGTCGACACGATTCCAATCACATTTGTTTTGTCGCGACGAGTTAGCTCAGTCGGTGGAAGTGCAATGTATGGCGTTGTTATGATATTATGCAGTGGCCTAGTTCGAATACTGTTTGTCCAAAACTCAAAGACTTTCATACCCCTTGCGCGTACGTACGTTCATAATGTGTGTGTACGTACGTCGTGGGGTCTGAATTGTACGGTCCTTGTGGCTCGAAAGTTTTGTTACAACTATTGAAAAGATGTGTAAGCAGTTCTGCATATGTTAGGGCTGTATGTAAAAAACTGAATTTTTTGTTTAATATTTCAATAAAATTTAATAAGCATTAACGTGCAATTTATTTATGTGTAGGACGACGTTTTCGATAGATTTATTTTCAATTATTTGAAGACATTTTTATAGTTGCTAATTATTAATTTTTGCAACTTGTTTTTTGAGTATTTTTGTTAAACAACAAAAATTCACATCACATGATAACCAACCAACCAACCGATCCACTGAACAACCAATCAACCGATCAACCAACCAATCAACCAACCCACCAATCAACTAACCAACCAACCGATTAACCAACTAACTAACCAACCAATCATCTAACTAACTAACCATCCAATCGATCAACTAACAAACCAACCAACCGATCAACTAACCAACCAATCAACAACCAACTAACCAAACCAACCAATCAACCAACTAACTAATCAACCAACCAACCAACCAATCAACCAACTAACCAACCAACCAACCAACCAACAGTCAATATTGGAACTGACGTTAGAAGAGTTTCGACTTGGTGGAGCCAACGTAACTGGCTTCAAAATAATTCCCAAAAATGATTTGCGAAAATTGGTCGGTTTTTTATTTTTTTCTAAACTTTTAGTTTGTTTGCGTTAAATATCTTGAAAGACATAAATTTTTTAAAACCAAAATGTTTTTAATATTTTCATATCAAAAGATTTTCGATGACAATACTTAAACTCGTAACTTTTCTTTTAAAAGTTTTCTAATGAATCAAGTTTAGGCCTATCTATATATATTTAGTAGTTGTTGTTTTTACATAACTCAGCTAAAAATTAAGTTTCGTGAACTTTGACAAAATGACCGGAGTTATTTGAAAAGGTAAAAGGCCGACAAACGTTTTATTGCGTGATGGCCAGGTTTGAACATTATCAGTCCGAAACTTACTTGAAGTCTTATGTGTTTTGCAACATGTTCCTGTGCATGTTTGATTTTTATTGGTACAACATTTTAATTACAACCAGCTAAGTAGGGGACGATATGATGGCTCTGCTGTTGTCAGTACTACATAATATAAGCAACAAATTATGGTAAAAAATAAATATTTTTTTCAGACTTTGGAGAAAGCATTATGCCATGATTTGTATCTAATTTTGGAAGTAATATTCTCGGACATAGTCAACAGAAGTTCCAGCTTCTTGCAAAATGTAAAAAATAGAAAATACATGTACAGTGACAACGGCGAAAAAATAGACTGTCAAACACAGCGCAGAAAATATGAAAGTTATCAGTCGTTCAGACAACAAAATGACTTGGAAGCGAAACAGTGGAGCAGGAACCCGCAGCCAACAAATCTGCACCACCTGAACATGAAGACTCCTTTTGTGCCCAGCCTGCCTAAGCAACAAATCTACAACTACGAACCATCCAACATGAACCGCCATCTTTCAACTCCGCCCAAACTGAAGAGTTCGCATGGCAGGACCATTCGAAACGTCTTTTCAGCGGTTCTCATTCTCTTTCATTTGTCTACACATTTTAATTATTGCGATTTAAATTAGAGGTTGCATGATTGAGTTGGCGTCGGGTGTTAGTGAGTTGAATACTTCTTAACACGTTATTATATCTGGCAATAACTTCCTGAGTACGTATACGCATCGGCAATGTTGGTTATTTGGTATTTTTTGGAAGAAATCACATTACATGTAACTTTGCCGTCATGATTACAACGGAGTAATAACCAATTTATTCATGAGATTTGCATTAAAAATAATGTATAACTATACTTTGAAAATGTAGAGACAGTTTATAGGTGCAACAGGCTCAGTTCAGTTTGACGATCGAGGAGTGAGGCAGAGTTACTCACTGAGGATTATTTCTTTCAATGGCGAAGCAACAATGCCTAAGGTCTGTTGCGCTGTTTTGCTTGGCAATTAATTTTAAAAACTCTTTGCATTGTGTCTCATTTGATACAAAATATTTTAACGTTTGTTTGCAAAAAAATTAATAGGCAGGCATGTTTCGAAATTCATCGCTACTCACGCAGCTAACGTGCAATTTGTAAAAATTATCAACAAATTTTGATGAAATTAAACCAATCGCTTGTTTTTATACATTGTAACACATTAGTTGATTGGGTCATGGAGCAGCAACCAAGGTCTGAACATTACGCTACCCAAGGGACGCGTCAACATCAGCTCGTCAGTCGGTCAGAACAGAACGAGGAAAGTCGTCTCCATACTGGTTAGTCCCACTATGACCTCCATTGGCATGCGAATCACGATTTAATCAATTCTTGAAGATTAAAAAATATTTCATGATTAACTATGCTCAATGTTATAACATGTGTTTTTTAAACACAACAGTATAATAAATTTATTTTAAAGATCTTGTTGACATGTCTCTATCGTAATTGATGTCGGATAGATTAAATTATTTTGAACCATTTAAAAAAAGAATGCCGGTATGAAATAAATAGGTAAACAAATGTTGCACTTTATTTAAATTAATATATACACAGTGCACTCTAATCTGCATAGGACAAAATACAATCGAACACGACACACTTTATTTCAAAATCTTTATTTTGTTTCAAACTACTCAATTCGAAAGTTGCAAAGCACCCTCTAGAAACCAACAGCCCCTTTGGTAAGTTTGCACTCAATAGACACGAGTGGTCTTGAGTAGCCATTTAACTGAACATGCGCTCAGCAGTAATTTTCAATCTGATGACTTTTCCTTGCAGAGCCAGCCTTATATGATGGAAAGAAAGTTGAAACAGCAAGAAATTGAAGCAAAAGTTGAATTGAAAGGAAATGACAGGTGCCTAGACGTGAATGTTTTCATCAGTTATTTATATCACTCTTTTCAATTTTGTACTTTTACTGTCGCATGAAACTTATTCATCACGCAACAATGAAATGTTCGCGCGCTGATCAGCGCGTAAATATTTCAAAAAATCCTAATTTCCAAGGGATATAAAATAAAAATGGCAGCTATGGATAAGCAAGTACTATCTATGTATTTACTTTGAAAATGACGGAAAATTTTTTTTGATGTTGGATTTGTGAGTATTTGCTGATAAAGATATACTAAATAGTTTAAAAAACAAATCATCCGTTCATTTACATGTATCTATTCATCTTTGTATCTATCCATCTATTCATTCATCTATTCATTCATCCATTTATCTATCCATTATCCATTCATCTCCCCATCCACCCATCCATTCAGATACGAAGGGTACTGCCTTGAACTGGCTCAAATGATTTCATCCCTTCTGGAGTTTTGATTCGTGATCAAGTTTTTTGGAGGATGCAAATTACGGAGAGAAGATGCATGATGCAACTGGGAATGGGATGGTAGAAGTGCTCTCCGGGAAGGTGCCATTCAAATCTTCTTTTTTGCCACAATTTCTTAACATTAATTTGTTGAGACACTAACATTCACGTCTGAAACTGACGAACTGTTGCATTCTTGGTGCTGACAGGAGGCTGACCTTGCCATCGCGCCAATGACAATTTCATCAATGCGAGAGAGAGTCATCGACTTCAGCAAGCCTTTCATGAACCTGGGAATATCAATAATGATTAAAAAACCAGAGAAACAAAAACCAGGTGAGAGTTCAATTCATTGCTCTTTAATTTTTAATATCAACAAATTTCCCACATTTTAAAATTATTTATAGTTTAATTGCACATTGTGTGTGAAGATTTTACAAACATGAAGTTCATTTACGTCAATGAGGTTGAAATCTATTTATTTAAATAGATATAATTAGCAATGTGATCAAACAGAGTTTAATATAAAAATGGACATGAACGAATGTACGTAGGAGTGTTTAGTTTCATGGATCCTCTCTCCTACAACATTTGGATGTGCATCATATTTTCCTACCTGGCTGTCTCAGTCGTTCTCTTCCTCGTCAGCAGGTTCTCGCCAAACGAGTGGCAGATTGAGGACAGCGAGAAGGGTCCTACCTTCGTTAACGACCTAACTCTGCTGAACAGCATGTGGTTCTCGCTGGGGGCCTTTATGAGGAGGGGGTGCGAGGTCTGTCCAAGGTTAGTGCTGCTTCTGATGGGGATAAAACTATTTGAAAATAAAACTTTTATTTCATTAAAATAAATTTAAATTCTTTAAAAAAATTAACATCTAATCTTATTGAATTTTAGTCAATCCAAACAATAATAAATCATTGCTTAATTCTTAATTTTCTAAAATAAGGTCGCTAGCTGGTCGGATAGTTGGAAGTGCGTGGTGGTTCTTCACCCTCATCATCATTTCATCATACACAGCCAATCTGGCAGCTTTCCTCACCATTGAACGCATGCTCACTCCAATTAAGAACGCCGACGACCTTTCGAAACAGTCTGAAATATCGTACGGTACACTGGATGCTGGCTCCACTAAAGACTTCTTCAGGGTTAATTAACATTTGGTTTCATTTTCGTACAAAATCATCACTTCTGTTTTTCATTGTTGTCAGCTGTGGTGATATTGTTTTTTGATGTTTGTTTTGCTTTTCGGATAATTTTTAATTTGTACTGAAATGAAGCTTTGATTGTTTCAGAGGTTAATTTTTGCTCTCAAACTCGTTTATTGCTAGAAAAATGGCTGACATAGTTAGAGTTCCAATTAAAAAATATTCAATTTTTGAATGGTAGAAATAATCTCAACACAAAAACGTCTCGGAATAAACAGACTTGAGTATAGAGAATGACAATTATTGTGCGGTGTTGAAATAACTGCCACGAACAATACATCACATTGCTTGCAAAAGAATTTTTTCAAAAAAAGAGTGCACTTCGCAGATATTTATTTCTTTATTCAATTTCTTTCTTCAAATTTAATTTTAAAATAATGGAACCGTTGCAGATTGCTTCCTGACAAATGAAATAGTTTTTAATTTGTTTCTCTAAAATATTTGCGCCCGTGCGTAGCGTTGTACGGGAGTATGATATTCCTTTCTTATGTTTAATTGAAATCTCTATGTTAAAATAAAGAAAACTTGTTGAATATTTTCTCTAGCTTATTATCACGCAAGATAGTTGTGTTTGACGGGTATGAATGCTAAGCAAAAAAATTGTTTTTGCGTGCAAACATTTTTTAAATTTTCAAACCCACAATAAGTAAATTGGGTGGAAAGTTAGAAAGTGGAAAATATAACCGTTTCGTTTTTTAAATATTTCAATGTAAACAAGCGAATGTTTTTGTGAGCTTTTTAGTTTTCACGAGAGATGCTACGAAATGCGGTCTCCATCTAACTCAGCACACCGGCTGACTTTCAAAAGATGTTTCAAAATTCCCAAAAATACTCATTAATACTTCTGTTTCACATTTAAATAATTGCTCATATGTTGCTCGTGTATCACTCTGTAGCACTCTGTAGCACTGTCATTTGCCATTTTTTCATTTAACAATGGGAGTACTATAAAAAAAGTTTATTCATACTTTATGTACTATTGTTCAAAAGTGAACTTTAAAATCAGCCTAGATTAAACATTTCTTTCTAAAAATTTAAAAACAAGTGTTTTCCAGTAGTGAAGCTTTGTTTTTCAATATAAAAGGCCGATCATATTTTAATGATCGGCAAAAACAGAGCAAGCAGTCCGTACACTTTTTTTGTTTTCAGATAATTTTATGTACCATCGGCATGGCGGACTAACTGCCTGCCCATCTGATACAAAAAATTGAAGCGTTTGTCTCGCAATACATGAGGCTTTTTTCTAGCTACGTATTGATTGTTTCTCCGCCCAAACCACGTGAATGAAACACTCGCATGATGTCATTACAACAACAACAACAAGCGCAGTAACAGAACAACAACATAACACTAACAGAATGTCTGATCTGAAGCAGCAACAACTGCAATGACACAACAACGCAACACAAAAGTGCAACATCTGTGCTTGCTCATTATTTAGGGGTCTATTTAAATCAACTGAATATTTATGTGAAAAAATTTGTCGAAAATTTCAACGTGTAAATTCTAAAAAAATTCTTTCACGTCAAAAATAACATGTTAAACACAAATGTCACCCTGTAAGAATAACTGGCAGCTGTCGGCTTCTGACGATCGGCTCCTTCTTAAACAACTTCAACATTTCATATTTTTCATCATCCCTGTTAAATGAAATGTTTTAAATAAATATTTTTATCACGTCAAGAATAAACTATATTTCATTTTTTGCATTATGTATAAATGAGTTTATATATATATAAATATATATATATATATATGAATATGTGTGTAAGTGCGTATGTGTGTGTGTGTGTTTGTGTGTGTGTGAGTTTATATATACATCACTTGTCACTTGAACAGTCTAAAAGCTCCTAAAGTCTAAAGTCATAAAACATTGATGTTTGAATGTGCGTTCAGAACAATGTATACACATAACAGTAACAATATCGAAACACACGTACCCACACGCACACACACAAAAGTACAAAAACCCATGCACAAACATTGAAACATACAAACACGTTGATACAATTTGTGTACGCACACATGCAAACATTCGTGGCTGGATGCCAGATAATGTTTTGAAATGTATGAATAAGTACGATTGTGTACAATTGTTCATACATGTGTTGCATCTTTATGTATGTGTGATTTTTACATTTTCATAAAAACAACACACGCATATATATATACACACACACACGCGTATACACACACACACATATATCTATATATATTTTTTCCGGTACGATGTCGCGAGCGGTTTGCATTAACGAGTTATTGTGTTATTTGTTTAATAATTCTGACAAAATTGACGATGCGGAATTCATTTACGAAATAATGGATTTCTATAATTGTGAAGATATTAGAATAGCAAAAAAAAATACTTACCAGCGATCTAGATGCATTAAATCTAGAAAAAGATGATAAAATAAAGCCAAACAGTTCTGGAAATTCTAAAAAGGACAAGTTTAGTGATTTAATACTAACAATAAAAACTATTCTGAGCAACAAAATTGAGAGCAAATTGCCTCAGTATGCTGCTCTCAACCTTTTTAAAATTCCAAGCTCAAAAAAAGCAAAATTTGAGTCAATTCTTGACGAAAAGTTAAAAAAATTAGAAGAACTATTTATTGAAGAAAGAAATATCTTTCGAGAAATAGTAAATAATGCGGCTATTAACAATAGCCCAAAAGTAGAAAGAAAGCAGCAATCCGATTGCAAGCAATCTGACTGGTCAGAGATTGTAAAACGTAAAATTAAAAAGAGCTCAAATGTTCAACACGTGGCGAATGTTCAACACGTGGCGAATGTTCAACACGTGGCGAATGTTCAACACGTGGCGTACATCAACATAATGAAAACAAAGAAAAAAAACACACAACGCTAACATAGCAAATATGAAAACAGTTATAGGCACCCAAACTGATAAACAAACAAATTTGAAAGCGATGAAACCTTCGCCAAAAAGAAGTTTTTTACGTTAGTCGATTGGACCAACAATGCACTGCAAAAGAGTTAAGCGAACACATAAATGGATTGAAAATTGAGGTGCTTGGTTGCTCAGCAATCAAAAATCGCCGCTCAAAGCAAGCTACAACATCGATCAACACACAAAACACGAACTCTGACAAAATCGATGTTCAACAGACAAGCGCTGCATTCAGAGTTTGTATTTATGAAACAGACTCAGCTGAGTTCATGAATGCAGAAAACTGGCCAGACCAAATCATCGTCCGCGAATGGTGTTTCAATGATCTGTCGGCAAATGTTGTCAATGATTTGTCAGCAAATGTTGTTTCAACTAAAAATAGCAATGAATAAAAACTTCATAGAAGAGAATCTCAAAGAATCAAAATATTACACTGTAAAAAAATTATCTAGCATAATAAAATTGAAGAATAAAATGAAAAACAATCACCTACCAATTATTCATCTGAATGCTCGAAGTTTGTTTTATAAATTATTAAATCTAGAAATCTTCTTAAAACAATTTGACGACTTTTTCAAAATTATAGTAATATCAGAAACGTGGTTGAACAATGAAACAGTTGATTTAATTAAGTTAAATAATTACAATTTTGTATATAAAAATAGAAAAAGCAAACGAGGCGGAGGTGTTGGTGTGTTCATAAAGCATGACATCAAATATGTTGTAAATGATAACAGTGCATTTGATGATGAAAATGTCGACGTTCTCTGTGTGGACATTGAATCGGAGCATGCTTCATCTAGGGGTGTGCTAAAAGTTATCGCGATATACCGCCCACCCAATTATAAATTTGAGCCTTTTTTTAAATAAAATCAATTTGATTTTACACGCCATCAAACCCGCCGACAAAACTGTTATAGTGGGCGACTTTAATGTTAATTTATTGGACAATGATTCAAATCATTCTAAAGACTTCCAAAATTTACTATTTTCATTTTGTTTCTCGCCTTTAATTAATTTACGAACAAGAGTAACTTGTAACGCCAATTCTTTAATCGACAACATATTTACGAACCTGTATCAAAATTGCGAAAGTGGAGTCATAGTCTCAGACTTTTCTGACCATTTTCCAGTTTATGCAATAGTAGAAAATTTTAAAACTGCTATCAATGATGACCAAATTTTATGTAGAAAAATTAATAAAACATCCATTTTCTTTATTAAAAAAACCCTCTCACTTCAAAATTGGCATTCAGTTAAAAACGAGAATAATATAGATACAGCATGCCTGAATTTCTACAATATACTCAATAAAACTCTTGACACATACGCACCTCTGCAGTGGCAGAAACAAAAATATAAAAAAGCATGGGTATCTGATGAAATAATAAAATTATCAAAATAACAAAATCGACTGTATAAAATAGCAGTCGCTGCACCAAACTCCGCTAATGTTGAAAAATATAAAAAGTTTAGAAATTACTTTACATCATTAAAGAGAAAGGCAGAAAAAAATTATTTTCAACAAAAATTTGAAGAGGCAAAGAGTTGCTCCAAACAAAAATGGGAAATAATAAACGGTATAATGAATAGAAAACAAAACATTCTTGAAATTAATAAGCTAAAAGTTGACGACAAAATCATCGAAGACCCAGAGGAAATAAGTATTCTTTTCAATGAATACTTCATCAATGGCACAGAGAAGCTGTTAGAAAATCAAATAGTTACTGAAGATAAATTAAAAATAAATAGTGCAATCTGTAAATCAATGTATATGAACTCCACCAATGAAGAAGAAGTAATGTACATTGTTCAAAACTTAAGCAACAAAAAAAGCACGTCAGATGATACTTTAAGTAACAATCTACTTAAAAAAATCATCCCAGAAATTGTCATTCCAATCACTCATATTTACAATCTTTCCATCGTCCAAGGAATATCTCCACAATGCTTCAATGCTTTTTTTGGTCTCCGAATCATTCATGCTTTTTGTTTTGTTTGATTGAATAAAAGTGATTTGATTTGATATATATATATATATATATATATATATATGTATATATGTATATATATATATATATATATATATGTATATATGTATATATATATATATATATATATATATATATATATACAGTTCCAGTTAGTATGCGCTCCAATGAGAAATCGTTATCCTCTTCGCAAGCTGTGTTACCGACGTTTGACTCCAGCCAGCGGAAAGATTTTTCTTGTATTAACAATTTCCTTTTTTCTTCTTTTGTTTTATCAAAAAAATTTTTTGAAAAAAATTTAATTTGTGGTTTCTAGAAATATAATATCGGATGAGAATGGCGTTGAATCACATTTTGCATGTGTTTCTGATGTATTTTTTTTATCTCTTTTGTTTTCATCATGATTTTCCAGCTCGCTCATCTATAAAAAATAAAATTCAATTGCTTCTAGATTACTTACTTATCCATCCTTGCGATCTTTATCGCATCTGGGAGACCTATCATTTTTTCGACTTATGCTTTTTTGGTTGTTGTTTCTCTAAATCAAAATATCGCACAGCAAATTTATTTCTTCGTATTGCAGGTTTATTTCTTTCAACGTTAACTTTAGTGGAAAATGTTTCGCAGATATAATTTCATCTCCCTTCAATTCGCTACTGTTTAAGTCGAACCGCGTATTTCCTGCAGTAAATATTCATTAACATATCAATCAATCCGAGGTTCAATTAGTTCAGTGCATTTATGTGAAATTGCTGAACTTTTATGTAAATTTAACAATTTTAATTAATGTGTAAAAGAGTCTATTATTTGTGCTTCGTGTTAAGGTTCATTTTGTAGGCATTCACTCATTTGACTTTCATTCTATGTTTTTCAATAAAAATTTGCATATTTTAATTTGAAATTGTTGATGACAACGTTCAATTACTTCATTAAATTTTATTTTTTGTAATTATTTCATCTGCTTACATTTTTTGAACTGGGCACTGGGCTTGTTCGCTTATTTCCTGATTGCTTGTTTAAGTTTCATGTAACTTGACACTGCTGACAAATTAATTTACAAATTTTCAAGTGCGTGCAACTTCTGTTGTTTCATATTTCAATTTTTTCAAATGCTCATTTTGTAAACTTTGGAAAAATTTTTGTATGCTGTTTTAATCAGTCAACACAAAATCTTGAATCATAATAACCAGACCTCCAAAATCGCCATCTACGAAGACATGTGGAAGCACATGAACAAGGACCCGAGTGTCTTCGTGAAGACGACAGACGATGGCATCAACAGAGTGAGAAACTCAAAGGGGAAGTATGCATTTCTGCTGGAATCCTCCATGAACGACTACTACAACCAGCGCAAACCTTGCGACACCATGAAGGTTGGTGACAACCTAGATTCGAAAGGCTACGGTGTAGCAACCTACATTGGATCGGATCTAAGGTCTGCTTGCTTCATATAATTGAAATGTATTTATTATGTTCCAGGTTGCTGTATTTTGAACAGTGTTTAACTATTGGTGTTTATATGTTTTTTTTCAAAGAAGCTATAAAAGTTTACGTATTAAAAAAAATTTATAAATATTTAAGTTTATTAAAAAAATTGCCAAACAAGTTATTACGTATTTTAGCAAACAATGAAATGAAACAAATTTTAGCCTGCCTAAACGCCAACAGACTAAACATATAAAAAATATTTTACCGTTCAAAATACGCAAGCCATTCAAATCAAAGAAACAACCAAAAATTCCATTCATAACAAACAGACCATTAATTGTTAGAAAGTTTCATTAAAAATTCCTTAAAAAACAGAACCGATGAATCAAAATATTTGCGTGCACTCCGTGTTGAGTGTATGAAATTAAGGAAGCATACTCGCACCACACACGGCAAACAT